TGGTACATATATAATAATAGTATTTATCAACAAAACAATCCAATACGAAAAACAGTATCCGTCTTTTAACGTCTACATATAGGTATACAGTAACCGTTAGAGATTTAACATTGATATTTTAGGTCTTACTTAATAATATTTTAAACATGTTGACAACATTACCTGTTACGTGTTTTAATATAATATATACTTTCATGAAAATAAAAATCATAAAAACAATTATATTAGATTAATTGTATTTCGTAGCAATAGGTAACTTAATAAATATTTGCAATATTTGGAAATTCACCATTGAAACAAACTTATTTTTGTGTTGGCTATTATTTACAGATTTATTTTATTGAAGAGATCTGCTCGTATAATAATCAATACTTGAAAATTTTAAGCCACTGACAGGGTCTGGTGTCATAATTTTAAACATCACCGCAACACTGCGAGTCGTTAGAATTTTTTAAAGTTTATGTTAGATTGTTAGAATCCTTTAGGTGTACAAAATATGAATAAGTAACATTTGTTAAAAATATATAAAAATGACATTAGTACTATAGTTTCCTATCACTGACACATATTATACAATTAATTATTTGTTCACGCATATGTATTTTACGTAATTATTATGAATGTCTACGATATATTATACTATTTCACTCTTGTCACCCAAAATATAATAACGGATTAAATTTCCCGTTGTGTGATCTATGTGCTTAGGACAAGAAGAGTTATTATTTTAGTTTGTATTTACACGAGGACAAACACCGTTCCGGTATTAACGGCCCGGAACATTTCTTATTTATACTCACCACCCGCTGCGTATATGCTTCACTACTCGTATAATATATATGAGTAGCAAGCATATAATATAATAATATGGATATTAAATATATAGTAATACAGGACTAAATTAAACCATCGAATGTTTCAGATGACTGAAGTGACGAGCAGGACCGTCGGTTTCAGAACATCTGCCGACGGCGACAGGAAAGCCTTGTCCGTGAGAAGATACGAGGCTAAACCTCCGGAAAACTTGGAACTGGTAAGTCGCACGCAAATAAAACTATACTGATTATATGACGGTGACGATAACAATAATAATAGATGTCGAGAGTCTACTATTTTATATATAACTATGGTTGTACTACATGGAGACATGACCTAACTCAACCTGCGTTTTAAATACATACATATTATAAAAAAAGTTAAAATATGTTAATAACCACAGGCACGATATGTAAGACTACACGTTTCGAAAAATTAAAACTTCTATTAAGTGCTATACTTAGAATTTAAAATTAGTTTAGAATGTTTATAGCAGTTTAATATTGATTGATATACTATATGTTCTCAATCCTCGTTTATTAAATGATAACGTGGCGCAATAACATCATATTATAATGACCGAGGAGGTAATCAATAATGAATAAGGTAAAATGGCTAATGACTCACGTGTCTGCCTTTCTTTAAATTTGTATTATCTAACATTATATTAAATGTATTTTACGTAATAAAAGTTATATTATAGTTTATTCTATATTATTTATCATCAACGTGTTTAATTTTAATTGTATCTTTGATTTAGTTTAATTTCGATATTAATGTAGAAATAATGGAGACTATCCGGAATGTCTAAACTATATATACTTTGAACAATTTTTTTTTTTAACAAAATTAATGTCGTAGGATTTCTAAAGAATGATTTTAAGTGATATAAAATTTATGATCTGTGACAAAATATGAATCCCTATAAAGTAATATTAGGTCATAATTTGAATAATAAGTCATTTTCACCGTATATACATTATAAATACATGTTTCATGTTTGTGTAGTGTCATAACATTCTCCAAGATAACATGTCAAAATGCTTAACCCGTATAAGTACATTGGCTTATTGTTTGTATCGTACACTTTCTAGTTGTTCAAAATATTATTCACATTTGTAACGCAGCAAATATTTTATTGTTTAGCCCATATTTATATTTTTTTATTACATTCCACGCGAACCTCTAATAAGTACCTTACCTACAGGGTATTTTATAATATTAGTTTACTATATGTCTATATATTTATATTGTCTAAAGTATGTATCCAGTACCTATAACGTCAAAGTCTCATGATTGTTGCGCGTAAATTAATGTATTTTATTTAACAGCATTAAACACCATTGTGCATATTATATTGTATAGGTACTTAATTAACATAATTTACCGTATCATACGTATATAGCAATAAAACCCGTATATAATGGTACGTAGCATAAATTCTTACAAAAATAACTGGGTACCTCTATATTACATATTTTAATGACAATTATTATAGTCGTACAACTGCACAAGTTAATTGAACAAAAAAACGAACATACATAACTGTTGGACAATCCAATGTGGTTTCGGGTGAGCCATTGGGACAGACATAAATGATGAATTTTTCTTTCGAAAGTGTTCTGGGTGCAGTTTTTCTGATTGTTCTTTATTTTTACCTAAAGCTGTTAAAGTTTAAAACATGGAAACTTAAAATAAATTGAAATTCAAAATTTATTGTAACTAGATATTTTTGTAACTCATATTTTCATTGTTAAAATATAATTAATTAACTATAATTTTTTTTTATTGTATGTAAACTAAAAGACAATACTATTGTAAAAATTAGAAAAATATTTAAATAGATTGTGATTTTAAAATCGTTTCATTTTTTGTTATTTTATTGGCTGTGACATTTTCTTTGGTATAATATCATACGAGACATGTTAAGATTAGCATTTTTATTATGATATGACTGTAATACGAAACAAAATATATAATAATATAAATTAATACACAATAATACCTCCAAATTATAATTCATTATTAGATAATGAAATATAATAATTTTTCTATGAATATGATTGAAGCATAATAAATTTTCCGAACGTATAGTTAGATCTCCAGTTTTGGGAACCAATGTTATAATTCAAAATTAAGATCATAAACGTCAACTCTCTGATTATTTTATATATTACTTATATTTATTATATTGTGTAGGTTTTTTTTTAAAATTCGTCTATAAACTACAATAAATGTATATTGGTATATAATTTAATGTATATAAATATATATAAGTAATATTTGATTTTCGAATAGTGTCCTATTTGCATATGTGACACATACTATATTATTATTATAGATAGATGTTATAAAATTTAAAACCACATAGACGTGTAGTTGGACCCGTGTCGACCTTTACACGCGCAGTGACTCGTTTTTTCGATCAACAGGACTGATACCGCCATAGACTTGTAATATATTATAATTTATAAGTCTACGAACACCGCATGGCGTTTAGTATACCAGAATCCCGAGTTTCCGGTTGAACGTGCATACGTGGTAGCGGTTGGTATAATATAATGCCTACAATATACGAGAATATATTATAATAAATAGTGTCGATATTGTAGCATGTAGATATGTCAAGACAATTTACTAAACATACTTATCCCCATTTATTTCTTAAGTAATGAATTTATTACAAATTTTGATTTTTAGTTCTTTTAAATATATGTAAAGGTCATATTTTCAAATACTTAGACGTTTACACTATCTAAAAAATATTCTTTGGCCATCTGTGTAATTTTTTTTTTTAAATAAAAGTCATCATTATTTCACTATGAGTTGTTAATCAGATGACTTTTGAAAATGAATTTTAATTGAAATTCGAATTATAGTAACTTAGATTTATTTAACTGTGTATTAAAAATAATAGATCCATCCTATTGGGTATGAATATATGACAACTATGTTGATTTAAAAACTTTAGTAATTATTAATAGTCAATATTTTATAACTTCATAAAGATTATTATTTTTACTATATACATTTAGTAGAACTTCGATTATTCGAACTGATTAAGACCGCACTTAGTTCAGACATGCAAAAGTTCGGTTATTGGAAATTTAAAAAAGAAACACAATTAACAATTTTTTTTAAATACAATTAGGTATATATTTTATATTAAATATGTATTATTGTTATTATTAATATTTTATTAGAATTGCATACATTACATTATTAGAAATACATTACATACATAGGAACATATTATGTTTATTATATTTTTTTGACAAAATTATCGATACGAGTGTTTCAACGAGTTTTAACTTTTGGATAACAAAACGCTAATTGTAGTTCGGATAATCGAGATAGCGTATTTTAATAACTCAAAAACTACTCATTGCCCATTGGAATTTTCGTTTAGACATTAACACACTAATATTTTCCAAAAAAATAAGTCTGTATCGTCACAGAGTACTCCTCAAACGCAGCGTACAAACGTAAATAATTGAATACATATGATATATGGTCCTCGAGTATGCGTACCGAACAGTTCCAAAAATCAGAATTCGAATTAATTCAATATCAAAGAACACGAATGGGGGTGATCGCGATTGGCGAATCGTCAACGTATAATAGTTATAATAGTTATAATAGTTATTATAAACGACAGCTGATCCGCGTATGGACGAACGAAACAATAATATAGAAAAAAAAAAAAAAAAAACTCGCAGAAAACGCGGAAATTCATAATCACGTAAACCAAGAAGTAGGTACCTACCTACGATGTAATACATATTATATATTATACTCGTATTTTTTAAGACGCGATCGCGAACGGTGTGAAGAATAGATTGCGCGCGTGTTGATTGCGTCGATAGCCGCCGGAACTCGTTTTTGTTTTTCACCCGACACGCGCGTTTCCGTAAAACGAAAACAAAAACTCGGCCCAAAAACAAACGAAAAAAAAAAATAAAAACAAGCAAACAAACAAACAAACACCCGACGGAATCGCAACAGTCTCCGCTCGCAACCGGCGCGGAAAGCGAATGAGCGGCGCGGCGTACGCACGCACGTGTACGCGTGTACGCCAGTAGAAAGTGGAAGTGCGGCGCGAGCGCTCGCGTCGGATGGTACGCGCGCGGGCGGGGGGTAGAGGAGGACGCGGCCGCGCGCGCGGCCACGGCGCTCAGTACGTCCGTCCGTCGGCTTACTCGTCGCTCGCGCGTTGGCGGCAAAATAACCGCGTCCCTCGCTACAGCGTCGTCCGCGTCGGTCGGTGTGTGCGTGACACGCGCGCGCGGCGGTCGAATCGTCTTCGCGTTGATTTCGCGTTTCCGTCGCGGCGTGATCGTTATCCGCGCGCGATAAGCGGCGGCGATATCATTTTGATCGTTTGCGATACCGTCCGGCGCGATGTGCCGTTTCCGTGGTCGTTGCGACGTCGCCGGCTGTTGCCGGTGGTGAATCGGCGACCCGTCATTGGTCCGGCGAGCGCGAACCCCCGCGAACACGGCCAACCGTAACGCCGTCGTTTTGTAACGATTCGGACATAGGTACATGATATATTGTTATTGTTATACGGCCCATACGTCGTCTTTCGAATGGTAGTCATACTTATCGTGCCTGCACCGACGTCGCCCGGCAATGGGCCTGGGAGGTACGCCGGCGGCGGCGGCGGAGGAGTTGTCGACCCGGCCAGGAGCCCCGGCGACAGGTCCACCTCGACCACGTCCATATCGTTCGTGTCGTCTGATAACTCGTCGTATTGTTTTTCGCAGGTCGATCCGGACAATGTGATTGCCACCACCAAAGAAGGTAAGACCGATACCGTTATCTTATTATTATTATTATTATTAAGGTTATTCGTTGTAATTAATTTATAATATACATATAATATGTACCTGCAAACAGACCTGCACCGTCTCCATAAAGTGTTGTGTACATATCAGTATACTAAGATCACAGGTATAATTATTTGCACACCTGTACTAGGTATACATTTATTATAATATAGATTCACTTTGGCGAAATTTTCTATACTCGTGAATTATCGTATTGTTATAATAACCGTTCACGTGGGTTAGGCTCTGTAAAAATTCCCGTCAGCCCTTTCAACCCACACCGCCCTAAGACTCTGAACTGTTACCGCGTATTGACATTTAACCGAACCTCGTAAATACAGTCGTAACACGTGATGATTGCATTTGACGAGACGATGTGTGCATTATTTTGATTATAGCACAATATTTCAGAAAAATACGATCGAAATAAATATTTACGATAAAATTATTTATACAGCTTGAGTAGAACACGACGTAGCGCATGCATCATTACAATTTTATATTATTATATTATTTTGCGTTAAAAATAAATATGCCTACTCTGTTTAAATAGGTGGTGATTCGTGAAGTGCTTAGAAATGTTATTTAATTTCTTTATTCTCTATGCATAAAAACTAAAAACCAATCCCACGCTAGATTCAGTGCAGAATGACGTATAATACGGTAAATACGGTATAATATAATATATTATATACTAAGACTTGTACACTTACGGATTTTATTACACTCTATATGATATCAAATTTTATAATATTGGTCACAAAATGTTTATTTCGATGCGTGTTTCAAATATTAAAAACATAAATACAACACTTAGTAATTATGGAGACTTGAGAGTAATGATGTTCGCATTTTCTACTTATTTTTATTTTATTTTTTTAAATTCAATTAAGACGCGTACTGGATAATAGTAACATCTGCAGCGTTTAACCGTGAACATAATTAACGTTGAACTCGTTAATATAAGTGCGTTTCTCGTATACATGGTACCTTTGGTACACAGCTACACATACACATAAATAATAATATACATAACTGGCCACAGTTGATCATTACAAATCGCAATAAATAGAACGTTAATAAATCTAAATGCTGTGGTCAATTATTCAAGTTTTTGCCTGTGTGGAATGTCAGTGTCATTAGTGCAAAAAATGTTTATTTTTAAATTTGCATACCCGTCAAATAAGCAGCCTCAACCACAAGTTTTGATCGATTGTAAAAGTATATACATACAGATCACAATAAACAAGCGAATAGTAAATAATACACCACTAAATGCCTCAAATCAAATAAATGTATTTTCAACCAGTTCGATATTGCGTGTCTGACGCAAACCCAATGGACTTTAGAAATCGTTTCACGTACACGAATTCATTATGTTGGCGTCAGTACATCATCGATAAACGATTTTCGAAATAATAATAATGTTCTTTGCACATCCGTGACACGAGATGAATAATAAACATTTTGAAAACAAGAGAAAACGCGAAATACGATCCCAAAATTTATACGATTATATACATTTATACTACTATGAATATGGTAATTTTTAACCATAGATATTTACGATACCTTCACATCAAAGTATCGTTGAACTCACATAAAGTACTGTAATAAAATGAACTCATAAAACTATACAACGTCCAGTATGACGTACAATTGTTACTGAATTTCATCAAATAATGAAACTAGATTCGACATAAATGTTGCCCCTAGAATAGTATAGTAAGTCCGATCAAACTATAGTAGTACTTAAATAAATACTTTTAAGTATATGTGTAACGAAATAAAATAAAAAAAATTATTTAATTTATATAAAATACAATTACACTGGTCACCAAATACATCTTTTCTGAGGCTTAAATTTATTATACGTGATTAATATTTATTAATTTATGACTAAAACACTAAACAGTAATAAAATGTACAAATGTAACTGTAAAAGCTATAAATATTTTAACTTAGTATGGTTAATTACATAGGTTAAATAATTGAAAAATTAGGAAAAATTAGACTTAAAGGTACATACAATTTACTAAAAATTATAGTTAAAATTGTTAAAAGTATATTTTATACATTCATACAAGTATTGATAAGTCATCGAAAGTATAGATTAAATTTAAATAAATAATTTTAATTGATACATTTAATTTAACTGTTAAATTTCTAGTCAATATGACTGTAATCTAAGTATGTTGCAATTGAAATTATAAATTATGTTACTAATTACTATTATATTATAATATGTACCTACCTGATTGAAAGTTTACTATTAATATCAAATCTCTATAGTATGCAGATTTAATACGTATATCCTAATCTTAATGATAAAATTACAAATATATTTATATTGTTATAAAAATCATTTGTTTACTAGTAAAATTTAAGATTAATATTAAACAAAAATAATATTTTGTATAAAATGTCAACTTTCATAAGATAATTTTGGAAAATATATTGTTTTATTAACGAATAATTAATAAACATTACTATAAAACACATGCATCTATCAGACAGGAACTTAGCTTTTTTTTTTTTTAACTACTATTATTATGCGCTTATAACCAATGCCTTAGAAAATATTGTATTTTAATCGATATTGCATGAACATAATGTATTTTATAATTCTGTCATACAAAATAAACTGCTTTCAAAATTTAAATCATTTTCAAGCTCATTATAGAAATAATATATAAAAATATTAAAAATCAATGATATTATTCAGAGCTTGACATCGACATATATTTTATAAATATATTAAAACTAAGAACCGTACTATTTTTTATATTTAGAAGAAAATAACATTTAATACCTATTTTTAGAACACCAATTATTAATATAATAGCATATACCTATAATCTACTGGTCGATAATAATGCTGCAGTTAATTAAACTGTTATATTTGTTCGATCTGTAAATAAACTAAAATAAAAAATTATTGGTAGCTAAGTGAAACTTAAATTAATTTAATTTTTTCCCAGACGAATAAACGTGTAATTAAAAAAAAAAAAAAAAAAAAATGTGATTAGCCAATAATTGATATGGGTGTCAAATCTCACTGACCTAATGCTAGTTACTAAATTGAGTGTTGGTGGTTTCGTAGAGATTAAACGTCAGTGGCTTGGAATAAGATGATCAACGTACCGTGACAATTATGATATTGTAAAACGAAAGATAAGGCTATATAAATTTATGCTACATCCATTCTATTGATTTTTTTTTTATTTACCTATGCTACATATCTTACATGATTAAATTATAATGTGTGAGTTTTACTGGGGATTGTAAATCAAATTAAAGATAAAAAAAGTTCGATTAAACAACACTCACAAGTTATTGATTGGAATAGCTTAAAAACGAGGAGAAAAATAATATTATTAAGAATAACGTATCGAGAGTAACGAGAATAACAATACAAATCGTCAAGGTGCTGTTTCTCGCACGTTAGTTGAATACTCGTGACGTATCCAAAACACAATAGATGGATAAAAATCTGTTTTTATTTATGTTTTGCAATCATAACATAGTGTGCAATTAACTCCTTTGTAAAATATGGTTTGTATACACTTACCTATTATAAACATTAACCACCAACTAACTAGCAGCGATTACAAATAACATGAAATAAATTATATATACACATACATAATACCATAGTATTATTTTAGTACTAAAAAGTCTAAAGCTTGCATTTTTCAAAATCAATAAAAGTAATTATTTATAAGTTATAACTTAAATTTTAGTATTTGTATTAATGAACGTGTATTGAAGAACAATTATTAATAGTGTTGTTTTAGAATAAAATTTAAATAGAAAATCAAAAATATATGTTTGAAATAACTTCGACGTTTGTATTAATACTATTAAGTACAATTGCGTATACATAGATTAATAAAAAAAAAAACATAAAAATTATTATTTAATATTTAAATCGATAATTTATTACCTGTTCACGTTCAAAATTAACTTTCATTGACGTAACTATAAACTATAAACATATAATACATAAAATATTAGGATCATACTGATTATAACCGGTTACATATGATTAACTAACAAAGGTTATTGAATTTTTTAAGAGAGTAATTTGACACAGCAAATGATCTAATTCAACCAGAGTTAGTTTTTATTTAATTTTTTCTGGTTTATTCTCTAATAATAATAATAATAAATACATTGTTTAAATTAAGACAATATTATATAACTGACTCGAAAAATTAATAGGTCTTATGAAATAATTTTATGTTACACTGTTTGTTAATATAATTTTTATAGTTTTTACTTCAGCCAGTTTTCAAAAACAAAAAAAAAAAAATCACACGCTTTTTTATGTGTGTTTAGTCAACAAAAATTTACCCAACCCAGTAAATAGATAACACAAAGTTTGCTTATAGAAAATATATATAACAGTTGTTATTATTATAGTTTAAATGTACTGTTGTGACATTACATACACTATTATAATTTAAAATTAGCATACTCGTATTACCACAATGTATCTCATGCGGAAGCATCTCTAACATCAGTTCGTCTGCAGTGTTTTTTTGAACAGCATTGTGTACTTTCTCCGGGGTATTGTTAAATTTTTATGTTTTTAAGGCCTCTACTTATATGGCTATATGAAGTCAAAACATTTGTTATCCAATGAGCACGAAAAAAAATAACGATAATAACAATAATAATTATTACATATTACTTACGTGACTGGTGGCTACGTGTGAATGTTTTATTCATCGCAAGAAATTATAATAAAATATGATAAATTATACCTACTAAACGTGGAAATATATACAACACCCTTATATTGCTATTGATGAGAAAAAATCCATCATTTCTCCGTCGGAATGGAGGCTATATATATATACTTTCAGTTTTATGTATAATTTATATTTATTATATTTTATGTTATATGGTATAGGTATACTTGAAATCTTCCATGAGATAAAAACAATTTGCGCATTTTAAACAATAGTTATTAATAGTCTCCAGACAATAGAAAACGCACTTAAAATGTCTACTGAAGGCCATCATATAAAATAATAAAATATTAAAATCAAACTTAAACAAATGTACTATAGAAAAATTACGAAAAATAATTGCACTTTTTTTGCTCTTATACTATATTTGTTGCTTATTTAACACACGCACAATCATTTATAGCTCAATTGTACACATTTTATAAATTAAAATAATTGAGTGTTGGGTTGTGAAATCGTGTATACAAATACAGGAGTTTATAGATATGAAATTTTCAATGTAATTTTTTGCCATATGTTTTTAACTACAGTATTTTGACACCATTTTAAATTGTGACAATTTTACGCATACGAAACATCAGTTGGTAGATCAAATCTTTTAATAATATGTCTTTCAATTTTGATTGATAGTCATTCGAAGTGTACAAAATGGTGTACGCAAAAGAAGGAATAAAAACGTTTGCCCCTAATATATTTCTCGCTTGTTCCACAGTATGTTCATTAATAAAATTTCATAACTACCGGTTGACAGATTAATAAGGTCCTAGTCTAGTCTATATTATAGATTGAGTGTATGTATATATGCACACTACACCATTGTGTATGATTTATATATAAATATGTGTATATGTGTAGTCTGTGGATACAATGTTTCCAAACCGAGAAATACACGACGATATGTAATTTGCCAAAGAAAGTACAATTCGCTCGTTTATGTATTATATTATACCTGTATATATTATTATACAAATGTGTGGGCAATTGTAAATGTCTCCATTTCCGCGTCTGCTGCTACACTGTTCGACCTATATACTATATGTATAATGCTCTGCGCGCTCTGTATTTTTAGCCCATTGATCATTATGTTTGTCTTATATTTGTTATTCAATTTTTGTTTTTTTTTTTCACAATTTCAGAAGAATGGGTGACTAAGAAAAAAGTTGAATTGACTACCAAAAAACAAATCGAAACGAGAGTTAAAAGACAAGTCGTGTTGGAAGACGGTAAAATCGTCGAGGACTCTGGGCCAATAGTTACGACTAACACGACCGAAGATACCGAAAAACAGGAACATCAACAGACCGAAGTAATTTTAATTAGCACGCTAACTCTAAACTTTACTATCGATTCAGAATACTGTTTCCTACATTCTCCAAGATTACAATTAATTGCAGATAATCACAAAACAAATAAAATCCATTTAAAAATATTTAAATTTCTCGCGATGCATACACGTTATTCAACATTCTCATATAATAAAGCTTGTCGACTATATGGATAATCTCTACACACGACTTATACTATACCGACTAACTCTGTACTAGTGGACTGGTAACGATATATCGATTCTTAATGAAAAAAAAAAAAAATTGCGTATAATATAATATGTATATAGAACTGAAAGACATTTCAAACCAGTCTCGTAAGACACAAATTCGTTTGTATTCGCTTATCAATGTATATACCTGTATATTATATCTTCGGGCTCTTTACGAGTTAATATAATTACGATTTCTTAGCGTATAATAATATAATGAGAATTATGATTGGTCTTTTTCATGCGGATATCACATCGGAACATCACACAAAACAAGTTAAATTAGATCAGAATAATTATATTCGTTCTTGGTATATACAGTGAAAGGTTGATATTATCAAAAATAATATATAATACATAATTTGTGTACATACATTCACACACACTTATAAACACGTGTATAGTTATTGTGTACAAAATTAATAATAATTGACGTAAAAGTACAGTAACTATATACGAGTACAGTGGTAGGTAGATAAGATGCTGGGTTGGTGTACAAACATATTCGAATCGAGTCAAAGAAAAATCAATTTCTACATAACATAAAGTAGGGTTCAGCGAACGATCCTATTGTTTTTGGCCGCGGTCTCGAGCCGGCTTTTACCTATTCATTATTACATTATAATTATTAATTCATCCATTCTTTCTGTCACGTTCGGAATCACTGTAATACCAATATTGCATTCCTTAAGAGCGATGATCCTGCAAGAAATCGAGCTAGTCCGAAGGTGAATGTCATGTGGTGACTATTACGGAATTCACAATTGAGACGTGTGCGGAATAATATAATTTTTGACAACATATTTCAATTTCGATTTAATGCACATCTTTAAATCATGATATTGTAATGTATTATTTTTTGTTACATTAACGCAGTTTTTAGTAGCTTATCACATTGTTTTCGGATCTGTTTTTTCTCAAATATTGCTAATTGTTTAAGAAAACTATTTATTGACCGTTTTTTTAAGATATTGATGTTTTATATATCATATAAATAAACAAATAAGAAAACTATTATAAATTAATTAAACGTTAATGTCTGGAAATATTACTTAAATTTAAAATTATTTAATAAAAGCTGTAAAGATTAATGTTATTCTAATTAGAATATTTCACTATTTTATTTAGCATCGTCAATTGGGTGATGAAGGCGGCGACGGAGAAAATACCAAAGAAGTGGTCGTGAGAATATCTTCATTGGAAGGAAACCCATCATTGTTGAAAGAAGTTCGAGAGAAAAAAATCAAGAGCCGAGAAGAAAAAGAAGAGCTAGTAGAAACAGAGGACGTAGTCCACCTAGGAAATATCAGCGATAAGGTTTGTTAATAATTTATTATAATTTCATCATTGACATATTAATTTGCCCATAGTAAAATATATGGAACTTTAAGTCACGACATAAATGCATAGTATACAAGACATAAGTATATAAAAGTATGATGCTTGTCTAAAAACATCAAAAACTATTGAAATTTATTGTTCCACTAAATATATGTGACGTAATGAGTACGCGCGTACAGATATGATTTTAAATTGAATTGTCGCCAATTAATTAAAATATAATAAAGTGTGCAATAATTACTAGAAACCATTAAATCCATTATATTTTTTTTTTTAGATATTTGATGCCTAAAATCGTTAAAAATGTTCAGTTTAATACTTAATAGTATATATATATTAAATCGTTATTTATGTAATATTAATAATTTAACCGTAATGAAAGATTGTACACAAATTATTAATTATTATTATAACGTACAGGACGTATGTATTATTCTAATAGGTGTTTACACGCAATAAGCTCTTTCAAAATCGTTCATTATGCGCTGTATCGTGCATTGACATCGAGTCGTATATCCTGTGAACGTCCTGCAGTGATTGCCTACATAATATGTTATTTAAGGTTTGCGATGTTATAAGTTCTGATCTATAACACGTACGTGACTGGCGCTATAATACGCATATATTATATACGTCACGCTCTATATACTTCGATGATCGTATTTATTCTAATGTCGCAGTGATATTGTATATTATGTATAAAATGCTGTGGATATAATATGTGTATGAGTGTTGCATAATATTTGTCATTGACCACACATTATTCGTACAGAAATGTCATTATATAAAAAAAAAACATGAGATAGGCACTATACTTACTTACATGATGATTCACTAAGTATGTTCACTCCCCCCCTCATTTCTATTTTTTCCTTTAATAACGAATTTATTTAAATTTAAATTTTTGTAAATTCTAAGTATAAGTAACTACTATTTTTTCAAAAAATAATCTTTTTTTTTTTTTCTAATAAATAGTTTAGAAAAAACCATGGTTCTCAACCAGTGTGTCGCCGAGTAAAATGTGTCGCGTAATGTACTAATATTAAATTACATAAAATTGTTTAAACAATTAATGAGTAAAAAAAAGGTCTTTTTTGATATTGTATCTTTGGGTCGCCTGGGTTAGTAGGCCAGTATCCTCCCAATCTGGGCCTGAGTGTTTTGCCATTTTTATGGAATTAGGGTGTCATCATACAAAAAAAAAATCGAAAACTAGTGGTTTAGAAGATTAAACATCTTAGAATACATTGGTGTATTTAAATTTTAAATTGAAATTCAAAAGAATAGTTTTTAGTTATTTAACTTTGTGTTTTAAGAATATTAGGCTTTTGATTATGAACTTAAATGAAATGGGCAAAAATTATTTGAACATCTTATTAATTAATATTTTATAATTTGTAAATATAGTTCGATTATAAATTATTATAATACAATTTCATAATGTATGATATAAGTTATATCCATTCTGAATTTTTGTAAAACTCGTTATTCAAGATTATTCTTAGCTTATATAATTTATTATAGAAATTACTTTTTCAAATTTTGAATTTAATATATCAAAATGTTAAAAAAAAAAGGAATCTAATTAACAGTTTACCGTAAATAAAACGGATCTTATTAAAAAAAAAAATAAAAAATTTATATCAGCATAGAACACTCCTTAAATGGTATAATTCCAAGTATTTATATTTAAAAATATTTCAAAAATCAGAATTTGAATAAATTCATTATTAAAGGAAAGCATAGGGGTGAGCGTGTTTGGGGAATCATTCAGTACAGCAGCATTATAGCGGTGATCATCATTCAATATTCATATTATAATATATTATGATATATCGTAATACGCGTAATCGCGTAATGAAAAGAATACCTAAATATATTCGTGTAATTGCAGAAAGAAATTTTCAAAAATTTTATTTTTTTTTTATAAATATTAAAACTAGTTATTGCAGGTCAGTGGAATATTATATTCCGGAATCGTATTAACTCTATAAATATTATATAATAATATTACCTGAAATGATTTTTTTTTCTCTTTCAGTATACTACGTATATGTATAATGTATATATATGTTCGTGTGTGTGTGTGTGTGTATGTATGTGTCGTAGTTAAATAATTGACGATTATTATTATTAATATGGTTTGATTAATAATAACTAGCGGTCAAATAAGACACCTATCTATAGATGTCTACAATTGGCAACGACGAATGTTCGACTCGACCACAACAATCATAATAAAAACTAACATTGTATTGAGCGCACATACAATGTACACTCTACGTCGTCATTACGCAACATTTCCATTATTTGTGATTTTTTCTCTCTCTATACAATACCATAATATTATTATCTATTCGCGTGTCTACATAATATGCAATGGTTATTAAAGATACTTCTGCTTCGATCTTATCTCTGTTCTAGAAGTACATATCTATACGCGCCGTGGACCCGCAGCGCCTGGTCGGTACCTACATTTTTTTTCATTTCGGATTTACAAGCTCGCTACAGCCGTCTGCACCTCCTATATATACGCCCCGAGGAGTGTACGGTGCAATTTAGTTTCGTCCAGCGCACACAAGCATAAAGTGCAGCTCGTTACGAGCTCAAAATGGAACCGGTTTTTGAAATAATTTCTTTAACCCCTATCCCTTGTGTGTTAGTGAGTACTTTGTGTGCGATAGGCTACCTACGCGATTGCAAAAATAAATATATATAAAATTTTTTTTTTATCATTTCTTCGAGATCTACTTATGCGGTTTTTCTTCTTACATGTCGCACAGACTTCCTTAACACGTGTACGATCTTGCGTGCATAACATTATCAGCAACTTGTGGTATATAAATATATATGTATATCGATAAGTATACATATGTTTATTTTTTTTATAATGGGTTTACGCGCAAAGTATTAGATTTTCGTGACTGTTGCTATTAGAATTGTTCACATGATTTAAATTAGGAGGTATGCGTTATACACATTATCATCAACTTGTCAAACTCATTAAAAATAGGTATACACTACTATACGAGTGTATTTTATAAAAACTAATAGCCATCCCACAGTGTTTTCGGTCTGCACCATTTGTTTCGAATTAAAATTAAATTCGGGTTTTACAATGCTTCTCTGGCGGGTAATCGGATTCTTTAATAGGATTTAATATATCAATGTCTAGACAATCTAGACAACGCGTTTTTAATTCTTTAATATAATATGATTATTGCCGGTTAAATATATATTATAAAAAATATTTGAAACGTGCAATTAAACCATGTTTTATATGTTTCAAATTGATTGATATCGAGTATATACCTATAGTTTAATTTATATAAAGTGAGATAAAATCGTTTAATATCGTTTCTCCAGATAAAATGCACGTAATTATAATTGCATAATACATTATTATTTGAACGTGTATTCGGCGTATATTTCTCCTTTAAAAAATATTATGTTGGAGGAATTTATTATGCATGCATATTATACACAACTATAAATTGACTAACCTAATAATTTGCTCGTTGCTCTTATCTATGTATACTTTAATTGCACCTACTGCAGGAATTTCACTGCGCGCAAGAGTCAAGTCAATTTATGACTTTTGCTTGTATGTAAACCGTTTGTCTTTTGACTCGTGCGTACTGTATTTTTTTATTTTATTTTTTTTTTTATACAGACTGTATCTCCTGTATCTCATATATTGGTGTCGTGAAAACCGGGTTTTTTTGTATTCATATCCATTTGCTTTCTACCAGCGGCGTTCACGACCTGAAATAGTCGACGTAAAATTGGAATTTCGTGTTTACACAGCGAATTAACTGATTCACGGGGTTTTATATTTGAACAGTTACGTACATAATAAAAAGTACGGAAAACCTGTTTATAATTTTTTTTATTGTTAAAAAACAACTATGCGTTCTCGAAATATATGTGTTTAGCTAAACTTCTAAATAACAGCAGTGGTACAATTCCCGTCACCTGGAGATACCACACTCATTATAGGCAGTGTCTATGTGCACGAGTATATTATAATGTATTTTTCTTTCAATTTTTATTTTCTGCGCTTCCCAAGGTAAGCCACTGCACTTCGTCTGTGGTTTATTACTCGTCGGATAGTACTCAAATCGGGGAAATAATGGTATAATATAACTGCGGGCATTAAAGTTGTGATACAATTCTACCCTCGTGTCTTATCACTCTGACTAACGCGTGCAAGCATTTTTACCAAACATTTATTTCATATATTGTACATGCGTAGCCTTGAAATAAAATAAGCACGTATTTATTTGAGTAGATATAAATGATTTAATGCTAATTTAAAAAAATAAAAATAAATATTATCGTTTAGTTCGTTTAAAAACTTGTATTTGTATAAAGTCACGTGTACATTTGCAACAATATTTCCCCGAGTATTTATTTAGTATATTAGTAAGTACTAAGTAATGAGTGTTTTTGGAATATGTTTAAATTCTATAATTTATAATATATTAGAATACAAGTTAATATTTTTTAAACAAATAAAAAATTATATTTTCTTATTGTATACTTATCGAATATTTTAAACCCAAATTCGAGGATTATTTAATTGTAACCAAATGATTTGTATCATAATAATATTACACAATAATTCAGTGTTTTTTCATAAATAATTAAATAATATACATAATGTATTTATGGCAATAAACTTTGATTTAAGTGTCAAACCGCTGTCGAGAGTTTTAACCCTTTGAATGATTTAGATGCGTATATACATTAACCCAAGGGTCGACAATAGGCAGTCTCAGAGGATTGAAAATAACTGGACCGCCAAAAATATTTTTTAATACTAGTTTTTCACACATTATAGATTTTTTGATCTATTTTTTTTATGTATTTGGAGATTACGATAGTGTTCATCGTGTATCACTGGTTACAATAATAGTTACGATAACACAACAATTATTAATTAATACATACGTTTTTTCCGGCCCTCGAAATTT